CTCTCTCTCTCTCTCTCTCTCTCTCTCACGCTGTAGCGATATCTCCAGCGCAGCAGGTACGTAGTAACCCAATCTTGTATCTCTCTCTCTCTCTCTCTCTCTCTCTCTCTCTCTCTCTCTCTCTCTCTCTCTCTCTCCCCTTCTTCTTCGTCTCGGTCTTTTGCTTCGTCGTGGTCTTCTCGGCAGGTGCGCGGCGACTTCTCCAACCTTCAGGTCCGCTATGGCGGACTATAACTCTCGGCGGCCACCTTTGCTATGGCGCATCACTCCTGCGACACACAACTCAACGCGTGGAATAGCGGGTACCAGCTCCGATACCAATGCAATCAGACTCGTTTTCTTTCACACTCGCATGCATGCAAACAGGCACACAGCAAACTGGCGATAAGCGCCCATACAGAACTCAGAGATATGGCAACTTAGATAAGTGTTCGCTTCCAATGGCTATGGCGACTCAGCGGCCAAACAACTCTCTGTTCGTATACCGCGGATCACGTTGGATATCCCACACGCGATACTCTGCACCCACACACACACACACACACACAGTACACTCTAACTCTAGCTATGGCGGTTATGGCCACAACTACCCTATCGCTATGCTACGCTCCTTCTCTCTCGCCCACTTCAGCTCCGGGCTCATTGCAGACCTCATTGCACACGTCGCTTGCGGCAGCGCTTCCGCATGGCTCACGCAGGAATCAATGAATGGCTGGGCGCTGCCTCTTGATTTATACTTCTGAAACTCGTTGATCTGCCCTTTTCCATCGGCCTGTGGTGCTCACAGTTCCTCGTGGTACTTGCTGGACCGGACTGGGACTGACTGGACCTTACCGCTGACTGAGTGGGGACTCACTGCTAACCTGCTGGGGTTGTACTGCAATCGCACTGCAGTTAGTCCACCACTTGACTCACCACTTGCCCACTTGCCCACTTGCTGACCTTCTAGAAGGACTACAGCTAAGACTTCTGAAACTTGCTAAGACTTCTATTCTACAGATCTACAGATCAAACCCCTGCTACCTACGGACCTATGACAGCCTACCAACTGTTTACGAATACACAAGTCACAGGTTCAACTCTCGGGGTCTACACAAGTATTGTACACGGGTAGGGCAAGGTCTAGGGATCGAGGCCTGGGATCTGCTTCTACTACTGGAAAGAGGTGAAAACCGTTTTAGATTAGGATCTGAGGGTATCATCTTGGTGAGCCAGCGGAGGCCATCCCTGTGCTGACACTAGCCATGGACGATTACCCCATGCAGGGATTGTTGACCCTTTCATTGTTGCTGGGGCCCCTTTTCAGAATCTTCTTTCCCCTAGGTTTCGGGAGGATATATACCTCCCGTATGATGATGAGGTCAGGCAATGTGAAGCCAAGGCCTTCGGCTGCTGAACAGGCTGAAGTAGAACGCCGACAGGTCGAGAAAAAGAAAGAGCAAGAAGATAGAAAGAAGCAGAAAGAAGAAGAGTTGAGAAAGAAAACTCAGTTAGAAGTAGAAAGAATTAAAAAAGAGTTGAAAGAAAATCCAGAAAAAGAATTGCAGGAGGAACTAAAAACTATAGAAGAAGAAAATGATCATGCGGATGATACAGACAGACTCGTCAGACGTCGGCCTGAGAGGGGGGCGAAAGTAGTCAGACTGGTGGGTTGAATATACAGGTCAGTCCCTTAAACTGGTATGACCAGTACAATTATTCCAGTGACAGGATTGAAGAGACGGAGGAAAAAAGGGACACGTTTGTCGCAAAATTGGCATCAATTAAAGATAAAAGGGAAAGGGAACTTTTGCTGGAAGAAAAACGAGCAGATTTGCACGCTAAAATGTTAGCAGCAAAACGACAAGAGCTTGAAGAAAGGAAAAGATTGCAAGCAAAAGGAGAAAGGTTGCAAAGAGAATTACAGACGCAGAAAGAAAAACAAACAGCAACCGAAGAACAACTTGTCGTTTTAACAGCAAGTGTTCTCCTTACAAAACAAGAGTTGGCGGCAATGAACAAGACCTTGCAAAAAGTTGAAGCTCACCAGTATGAGTTTGAGGGAGTCTGGAATACCTTCCTCCAAAGATTTGCTCCAGAAGTCGATCAACATGTACAAACATACATTGTAAAATTAGACGAGCAGAACAACAAAACTCTAACACTCGCCGTGATTGAGAAATTGGTCAGTAGTGGCGGAGCAGATCGAGGAGATGGTAAAGGTGATGGAGATGGAGATAGGAAGAAGAAGGGCGTGCTACAAGAAGATGCAGGGGAAGTTAGAAAGATAAAGGTAAAGGTGCCGTGGACATACACCGACAAAAAGGAAGAAAGTGTTTTGCACTGGGTTGCAGAGGTTGAGTCTTATGTATATGGGCAGCGTATACCGTATTGGGACAGAGTTCTCATGGCCAGTTCGTGTATGATCGGAGATGCAACGAGTTTTGCAATCTCCCTGTAGAAAGAAGCTAATTGTCAGTCTATGGTAGACTTCTTTAAAGCGGTCCGGGAACGATTTGAGGATAAAAACTTAGCCCGAAGAACTGAAAAGTTAATCCTGAATATCGCAGATAGAAAATGGAAAAGTGTTTTTGTACCTACCATGGACGAACTTCTGCAATGTGCTGAACATGGATTCACACCGACGCAGATTCTCAATAACTTTGCTAGAGCACTACCCGATCCTCTCCGCACTCAATTATATCCCCGTGCCAAGGAAGAGGGGATGACTTATGAAAAGCTCAGCAAGATTGCATTAGATCATGCTGGCTTCCTGGCTGAAGCTAATTATTGCCATTACTGGAAAGATCTGCAAGCGGGAAAGAAGTGGCAGAACCGAACCATCTCAGTAAGTATTCCTGGGAAAGACAACCTTCTTCTGACCTTTGAAGAAGGAGGTGTCGAGACTCTCTCCTACGACCAAATAAATTATGGTTTGGAGGGAGAACCCAACGACACGGTAGTTCAGGAGGGGGACTACGTGGCCATTGCAGCCCGCGGGGGAGGGCGACAAGGTAGAGGTCGTGGCAGAGGAAGAGGAGGCCGCGATCGTGGAGGAAGAGGATCCGGCACCCAGAGGGGTGGTGGCGAAGGAAGCTACTACGTGGGAGGAAGGTGCAATGGTCCCTCGCAAGGTGGCCGAGGTTCCAACTCCACATGGGGTAGAGGAAGAGACACGTGGTATGGGAATTGGGACAAACCATATCCACCCCATCCTGGCTTGCCCGAAGGCAAACCTTGGGAAAAGCTAGCGATCACAAAAAAAGTTTGGCAGGAAAGAAAAGTCGCCCATCGGTGCCTCAAATGTGGTGACGCCAACCACATCGTTCCCTTCTACCCAGATTACAAACAACCAGAAGGGAACAGCCAGTAGGGGTTTCAGTTGCCTCTACAGGAACTTCGAATGCAAGCAAACTGACATCCACCCATTCGAAGGTTCACGGGGCAGAAATTGAACAGATAGACGACCCCCACCTAGTCCGATGTCCAGAGGTAGTTAGTGTATGTACCTCTCTAGGTGGTTCCCTCACAGGCATGGGTGATGAGTTGGCCACTCATCGCAAAGCCTGGGTCGAAATGAAAAAACAAAAGGGCAGCTAATCCTTGCAGATCTAGAAGTCAATAAGGTAAGAGTAGGCGGTTTGATTGATAGTGGATCAACACGCAGCTATATTAGTAAGAAAGGACTGCAAAAGTTGGGCGAAAGGTAAAACAATTGGATGAGCCCGTAGTAAGTAAAATAGCAAATAGTACTGAGATTGTATTGGATAGATATGTTGAAGGGATTCAGCCGTACTTCTGGCTCGAAGCAGAGGGGAAGGTGGACCGCGTTCTCCACTCTCTGACTCTCCCGGTGGAAGATAGTCTCCCTTTTGACATTCTTTTGGGCACAGA